TCTGGACTGAAAGTTGCACCAAATACAGATACAATGACCGGGCATTCTATTCGGGTGAAGACGGTAGTGCGGCCAATCTGCAATCGCTGCAGGGCAAAGAGTAGAGAGTTGTGCAGGCAACACCAGGAGTGTAGGTTTAGGAAGAAGGCATTAATAGGACGATTCACTGTTGGCTCGAAGCTGAACGAATTTGTTGTGGTCTTCTCTTTTGCTTATTGTTATTGTCCTTGTGCCTTCTTGTTTTTCTGTCCTTGTTTCCTTTTTCCTGTCCTCCGCTTTCTGTTTGTGTTCCCTTGCCGCCGTTTGCCTTGTGCTTTGCATGCTGGGATCTGCGGTCGCGGCAGAGAAAAGAGTTGTGCAGGCAACGGCAGGAGTTGGAGGTGAGGAAGAAGGCATTGATTGAGAATATCTCTGCTCGAAAGAAGTTCCTCGCGAGTCTTCCGTCGCAACTGAAGGGTCTAAAGAGGGCGTCGGTATCCCTACAGATGCAGCTTGGCGTGCATCATAAAAAGCGTGTGAAGCAGAACCATCTAGCCGAGCTGTTACCTCCTCCTCTCTATGTTATCTACTCCCAGCTGATTGCCTATAAGGACGCGTTTGCGGATTCGATAGAGGCCGAGATCTTGGGGAGCGCCAAAGAAGCAGAGGCCTTGATGAGACTTCAGGCGTCCCGCGAAGTTGGCCTGCACTTAATACCTGCGGTCACGACGACTGCAGCCGGTGGGGAACTGGGAGGAGGAGGAGGTGAGGGAGCTGGAGGAGGAGGAGGAGGAGGAGGAGAAGGAGGAGAAGGAGGAGGAGGAGGAGGAGGAGGAGAGGACGAGGCCATGGAAGGCGAGGAGGCTGTTGATCGGCATAAGAGGGCGACTAAGGGAAAGGACACTCTGATGGCCGCTAATGCCGAGCAGGTGTATCGAGCGCATCCGCTTACTGTTGTCCTGGTCTCTTATACACATCTAGATGTGTATAAGAGACAGGAAATACATTGTGACCACAATTTGACCCATATTTCAATTTTGCCATTCAACCTTCCCCTCTCTTTCTTTCTCTCNGGCATAAGAGGGCGACTAAGGGAAAGGACACTCTGATGGCCGCTAATGCCGAGCAGGTGTATCGAGCGCATCCGCTTACTGTTGTCCTGAACATCTTCGAGGAGAACGCTGAGGGCGGGAAGGACGAGATGAAAGATAAACAGAAGAAGCTAGTGGGCGTTGTATTCGAGTACTTGCCTCGATTGAAGGTTGTGTGCGCTGCGGTGTCTCCAGGCGAAGGAGGGGGCGATGAGAAGATGTTGGGCAATCTTTTCCCAGATGACACAGGTGCCGACACACCTAATCAGGTCCGTTGGCATTTTCATGCACGTTCTGTTTTTTTTTTGTTTTACTTTCCTGTTCGTCATTTTGCGTTGTAATTTGTCAGTTACCCATCCTGTAAAAAAAGATCGTCATTGTTGTTGCTGTTGTTGCCAGTTGTTGTTCATGATGGTGGCGGTTATGATGAGAGAGTCAATGTAGCTGCGATGTTAGGGATGGTCGTAAACCTCCTGTTTCAGTTATGATGGTGCCAAGGATGACGACATTCAGTCTTTGATGGACAGTTTATAATGGCATGCCGTTGGGGATTACAATGCTGCCTCTGCTGCTGCTACTGCTGCTACTGCTACTACTGCTGCTGCTGCTGCTGCTGCTGATGATGATGATGATTATGAACTCATGAAGATGAAGAGCACTTTTACCACCACCTTTTTCCGTGGACGTACCCATCAGTGTATGTGTGCCCCAAGAATTCAGTACATACTACATGGTGCATCCTTAGTGTTTGTTTTGCGCCTCAGCGCTGTGAAGTTGGAGGCAATTGTAATTTGTAAGGCTCTTCTCGAAAGGGAAAAAAAAAAGTTTGAGTGAGACACGGTTATCCTTTTCCTTTTCTGAAGAGGACGTTAAACCGCCAGTGGATGGCTCATGCGCTGCCATTGGATTGGAACCCCCCCCCCCCCTTTCCGGTTAACATGGGGCTGCGGAAAGGCCTGGTGTCAGTGTCCGAGACCCCACCCCGCCCCCCCCCCCTTTCCGGTTAACACGGGCCTGTGATTTGCCTGTGGAAAGGCCTGGCGAGGGCCGGCATATCACTTGTCGCAAGAAATTGGACTTCATAGGGCCGGGAAAAAGTCCGCTTTGGAAAAAGGAGGCTCGGGTCCACTGTCGGTTTTACCTCCTCGCTCCACCAGTTACCACAGTTGCCTTGTGGTGAGTAGCGTCGTCTCTCCATCGCTTGTCACGGCCTGCGTGTCAGAAGTCACTTTTATCTTCGTGGTGAAGCAGCCGTGCTGAGTACTCGTCGCACTTCCCTTTTTCACTGCTGGCTACAGAAGGGTTGTGGTGGCTTGATTATCGCCGCCTCTCTCCGCCGCCCAGTAAAAGTCGTGAGTAACTCACCATCCCCGGTTGTCCCCGCCGGCCCCAGCCTTGTCTTGTAGCACTCACCCGTGTGGTGAAGTGTAGACGGACGATGACATTTTTGTGAAAAAAGTCCGGTAGTGAGTAGTCACCATGGTTTTCACCATGGTGAAAAAAGTGGTGAGTAGTCACCATGGTGAAAAAGTCCTGTGGTGAGTAGTCGCCATGGTTTTCACCATGGTGAAAAAGTCCTGTGGTGAGTAGTCACCATGGTTTTCACCATGGTGAAAAAAGTGGTGAGTAGTCACCATGGTAATCAAGTTCGGTGATGGGTGAAGCGAGGCCCTAAGAAAGACCGTTCAAGAAGACACCGATTCCCGCCACCGTTTTCACCCGAATAGAGCGCCCGGTCATTATGCCTGTATTTAAGGGCTGCTTTCAGTCTATAGATACGGCGCTAATGACCGGGCAGTTTATTCGGGTGAAGACGGTGGGGCTGTGGATGGCGAACTGTTTTGCTGCTCTTTTTGTTTGTTCTCCTCCTTGTCCAATGCTTGTCTCGTCGGCCTCTTCTTCTTCTTCTTCTTCTTTTTTTTTTTTTTTTTTTTTTTGAAGTATTGGTGCACTTGATTATCGCCAGAGCTGTGTGTATACAGCCGCAGGTTTCTAATATGACATGGGTGTATTGGTGGTTTGAACTTTGAAGTCAGTGCTTCTAGTCCTCCTGAACCCAGCCTATCTTCTTGATGCTTGTATTTTGTTGTACGGTTACACTTTGGTTAATCCTGTGTTTGTACTTCTTCTGCTCCTATGTTGCTTTTTTGACATGCAAACCTCCTCTCCCTGGTGCTGTGCTGTGGTGTTGAGTTCCTTTCTCCCCCTGGCGTGGATTGTTTTTCTTCGTTCTCTTGTTTCTTGGTTGAGACCCAAAGCATGCTTCTGCAATAGCTAACCCTCCGCTTCAAAAAATCCGCCAAGCGCCTCTTGCTTTGTATCATGCTACAGGGTCATCTGTTGGGCATCTAGTGTAAACATGAGCCTAGAATGCGCAGTCTCAATTTGTTGTCTGTGCTGTGTATTGCTTTGTGATTGGGTCCCTTGCTTTCAACCGTAGTCTATAGATGCCGACATTGGTTCCTGTCGTGATATCGCAGGTTACAAAGCTGTACTGTGATATGAAGTTCAGATTTGATGCTTGTTGTGTGTGCAGTGTATTGCTTTGCAATTGGGTGTGGTGTTTTGAACCGTGGCGATCAGTGGATGCTGACGTTGGTCGGCCTCGTGATGTGGCAGGCAACAAAGCTGTACCTGGATGGCACGTTCACATTCGATCCAAGTCGGCCTTCTCGGCCATACAAATGGGCTCAGCATTTGGCAGGAATGGATTTCCTTCCCATAGTACCTCCGTCGTTATTGCCTGATGACAAAGCCGGGGCAGGGTCTGCTGTGAGAGGGGTGAATGGCGAAGTGCTACTCGCCGGATTCTCTGCGTATCGTGAGCAGCATCGTGTGCACAATGTGATCCAACAGTTGAGGGCGAGGAAACGTGCACAGCAGGCGCTGAAGTGAGTCATCACGCAGCAGTGAGTCCTACCTTCCAGTCATTGTCTCTCTCCACCATGCCGATAGTCAGGGAGGGTATTTTGCCTGAGCGACCTTCTGCATGTGTGCTAAGTCAATGAACCTGTGAAGGACACAATAGAGGACGGCTTTGTCCACTACTGTCACCGGGGATTGGGCTATTTTTCCGTGACATTTTCACCGGGTTGTGAGTTGTTTCGATCCCGACAATGGAATATTGCTTCACTGATGATGGCCTTGGCAATTTGCCCCTGTTCGTCTAATCTGCCCGTGCGCACGCGTGTGTGTGCGTGTGTGTGTGTGTGTGTGTGTGTGTGTGTGTGTGTGAGAGAGAGAGAGAGAGAGAGAGAGAGAGAGAGAGAGAGAGAGAGGTTAATGCGAATTCTGGAGCTCAAGGCTCTACGAACCCTACGTCACTGCTGCTGAGCAGGCGACTGTATTGTCAGGGAGAACCGAAAGGAAGGAGAGGAGAATATCGGGAAGAGGAAGGTGGCTGTTGTTGCTGCCGTTGCAGGTGCAAGATCCGTCGATTGGGTGGTTGGGTGCATGTTTGTAGCTAAACAAGCTAATCTGAAGCGTTTACATATGCGTGTCTCGCTTGACCACCCACAAAGTTTGGAGCAAGGAAATTGAACTCTGAAGTTGGACTAGTTTTGCGTAGAAGAACACAGGACAATTGGATCTTCAGGCTTAAGACAATGGTAAGGAAAAACGTCGCCCACATCTCACACACTCCTCGCTGTCGTGTGCCCGGGTGGCTCCCAGGTGTTTCCAGGCTTGACATCTGTGCATCTCACCTCTCTCAGGTTTTTCAGCTTTCTCAGGTTTCACTTTTCTCAAGTTTCTCAGACCTCTTGCGGAAAGGTTGGCGTCTGTGCACCGCACAATTCCGTGGCTGGCTTGGTGCTCTAGGGGTCTCCGTCTTGGCACTCTAGTGGTTCCCGTCTTGGCAGTCCAGCGGTCCCCATCTTGGCCTCTACCCTGTTGTATGGGGCGTTGTTGGCTGAAACTTTTTTTTCTTTTTTGTTCTTTTTTTCCGCGTGCCGGCACGAAATGTGGCGTCGAAGTTCCCGTCATACATGAATCTGGAAGGTGGAAACACTCCGCAGTCTTGCGGAACTAATGGACAGCCGTGTGCGTGGAAGTTTTGCATGCACGGTTCGAAGGGGAAGCTGAGTCAGATTATACGCACTGCTTATACCCTATCTATTGGGTCATTGGGTCAAATCCAACCCTAGGGTGTGGATACCGTTTTACCCAAATGCGCGTCCGGCTCCTGAAATGGGACCACTCGGCTGGGCCCATTACTTACCAAGGTGACTATGGCCTTGTGTAATGCCTTTGTAGCCCGACGGTGCAGCCGGTTCCAGAAATGGGACTACTCGGCTCGGCTAGTGTAAAATGCCTTTTAGCCCGACGGTGCAGCCAGGCAGTAGTTAGCAAAGGTAGCTCTGGCCTGCCTGCTGGCCTTGTAATGCCTTTCACGAGCGTCGGAGGCCAGTGTTCAATCGGAAAAACTGTGGCTTCTGCGCACTGGCGAGTCCTTTGCAGAGCTGCGTTGATGGCGTAATGTCTAATCTCTTCGGAGGGATTTCTAGGTGCCCTGGAGTATGGTATGCTCCTTTTGATCGTTGAAGTCGAAAGCGGCGGGTGACGGCTTAATGTCTATAATCTCTGCGGAGGGATTTCTAGGTGCCCTGGAGTAGGGNTTGAAGTCGAAAGCGGCGGGTGACGGCTTAATGTCTATAATCTCTGCGGAGGGATTTCTAGGTGCCCTGGAGTAGGGTATGCTCGATTGATCTTTGAAGTCGAAAGCGGCGGGTGACGGCTTAATGTCTATAATCTCTGCGGAGGGATTTCTAGGTGCCCTGGAGTAGGGTATGCTCGTTTGATCTTTGAAGTCGAAAGCGGTGGGTGACGGCTTAAATGTCTAATCTCTGCGGAGGGATTTCTAGGTGCCCTGGAGTATGGTATGCTCCTGACGATCTTTGAAGTCGAAAGCGGCGGGAGTGCATAGGATCAGGAAATGTTTTTGCCATAGGCTTTTTGAATGAAGGGCGATGCAGAAAAATGCATTTTATATGCCGGTCTCGTTGTGAATGCCTTTTATTGTAGGACGGGGGTGCGTGCCAGGCTCTACGAATGGGTGTCACTGCTTTGGATGATGAATTCATCGACTTACGAAGCTGATGAGAATTTGCGAGATGCTTTTCGTAGAGTGCTGTGGGACTCTTTGTGGAGGATTTTGTTGCCTTCAGTTGGTGTTTGAATTGTGCTGATTGTGAGGGCCGTTAAGCGGTGAAGTAGTCGTCAAGTTGATGACTCACTGCCTTTGGATGAGGAACAACCTGGGTAATGACACTCTGATGCCGCTAGCCTAGCAAACGGATCAGTAGGGCGGACATGCATATTTCGTCTGAGAAGAAATGACTCCTGAATTCAACTGCTGTGCTTCTTATTGTTGGGGGTAGCCGTTAAGCGGATTGTATCCAATACGATTTGAAGTCTTGATCTGCATATCAACAATTGCACGTATGTACGGTTCAGCCATCAGTCAGGTACAGACTGTTTCACTTCTTATGGTGCGAGTACTTGTGCTAGACCTCCCATAGCATGGGTTCTGGTCCAGATGCGGATCAAATCTTCACCGAACCTTCACTAGTCGAGCTCAGTGACCACTAAATTGGCCCCTTGTAGCATTTATTTATGTCGCAGCTGTCAGCATGGCAGGGTTACAGCACATTTATGCTGCAGCACACTTGTAATGCCCGGCGTTGATTGCATCATTATAGAACAGTTGAATGTGGTCACAGCCGATGGCTTCCATCTACAAAGACGCACGCGGCCTTATTTTGTGTATAGGTTCGTGTATAGGGCATGTGACTGATCACAATCCTGCAGGGGACCAGAAAACATAGCATGTTCCAAAAGCGCTGTTGAGGTTTTTGTGAGTGCAGAAGTCTTCGAAGATGGATGATGACGATGACGAGGATGAGGATGAGGATGAGGATGATGATGATGATGACGAGGAGGAGGATTGTTGGGCCTTGAGATAGTTGTGTCATGCCTCTCTTACTCTGGTCGCGTGTTCTGTTGATGACTGGTTTTGGGCATGATATGGTTTGGGTGAACGGGATTTGTGCCTTGGAAGTGCTCATTGCACGCCTCTCTTAGGGTCATTGGAGTGTGTTTTGAGAATGAGCAATTTGAGCTGGATTTGGATATATTCCCAAGTATGGTGAGTTATTGTAATGTGTAGGGGAGGAGCTTTTTCGGAACCAGGGGAACTGACAAAATCCTTAGTTATGTTCTCAGACAGTGCACTCCATGCTTAGTTATGTTCTCAGACAGTGCACTCCATGCCATCCTAGACAGCGAGCTGCCTTCTTTTAAGGATTTGAACTTTGAAGTAATAAAGGTATGGTGGTGCCAGTACAACCGTAGAGGACCGGGCGTTGACTGAGTGCGTACGCAAAACGTGGATGTAACCCTACATCCCGTCAGTCGGATTTAGAAATGTCTAAGGAGCTGATGTGCCCCGAGTTGCGTCAGTCGTCGAGGGATCAGAAGGCCGTTGTTTGCTTCTACGAAAGCTGTTGAAGTCTGTGAGCAAGTGTGTGCTGTTTGGTGCAGCAGTGCAGAAAAAGCAGACACATGCTGCATTCTGAGGGAGGGAAGATGGGGAGGGGAGGAAGGGGGGTTTGAGGGGATGCAGATGGTGTCTGTGCAGCTGAGTGAGTGGCATACCATGATGGTGACATGCAGAGCGGAATGCGGTGGACCTGCACCTGGTAGAAACAAAGACCAGGTTAGTGCCAATCTAGCACACTTATGTCTGAGCCGCCTCCTCCTGACAGATGATAATTGCACTATGGCCGAAGACAGGCAAATCAAGGTGCCATGTAGCATGCGGAGGATGAAAAACTAGTAGCAGAGGATGAGAAACTAGTAGCGGAGGATGAGTAACTAGTAGTTTGAAGTCTTGCAAGAGGGCTCTTTTGCAACCCCCCCTTTACTATCCCTCGCACAACAGCGATTTCGGTGGAGATAATCGCACACTGACAGATATTTCGGTGGAGGTAATCACACGCCACGGACCAGAAGCAAGTAGTTCGAACTCTTCCAAGATCGCTTTTGAAATCGCTTCAGTCCTTCACGGGACGGGGATTTTGGTGACGGTAAATGGGGTGTTGACTCTGAGCCCAGGTCTTTTTGTATTAGGCGGTTGCTTGGTGCATCGGAGTTGATGAAACTTTGTTGTGGTATCAAAGGCTTTTGCAATCTGGAATGCTGATGATTGTCCTCCTGAGCAACAGTCAAGTTGCTGCAGAGTGCTTCCCTGAATATATGTTGCATGGTCTTTTTTTTGTGGCTGGAGATGTGGCTCTGGAGTCGGGGGCATTATAACAAGAATCGTCTACGTGTGTACTGCTGTTTTTAACAGAGAAAAGCGCCTCTGAGTCTAGACGAGAAAGTGGTTAATGGTAGTATGGGAGAAAAGCACTTGTGTTGTGGAGCCCAGCCATGAGCTGTTATGTGATTTTCTTGCTGCAATGGAATCACTGCCTTGGAATATGAACAAAATGATGTGTTGCGCACTACTGATTGTGTGAATCAGGACAGTCGGGCTGTGGAATTTGTTGCTCTTTTTTTTCTTTTTCTTTTTTTTGTCCTTTCCTTCAATTTGGACCATTTCTCAATTCATGCATGTCATCCTTGAGCAAGGCCCATGCTAATCTTCTTTCTCTGTATCGTTCCAATTTTAACGGATGTCCTGAAGGACATTTTGCTGCTTTTTATAACTTGCAGATGAATTTGAATTTTGAGGACAGGACTAGGAGTAGTGCAGCATGTGCTACCCCCATTGTATCTTTAAGATGTTCTCCGTCGTCCCAACGCATTACATGCCCGTGCATGATCCGGCTTTTTCCGGGGATCGAGGGTTGACCTCCCCCCCCCCCCCCCCCCCCAAAAGAGAGAGGTGAGGGAGTTCCGTACCGGTTTTTTTGAGTAGTGAAAGGGTACTTCAGCATGGATAGGGGGAGGGTGAATGCGGTGAGCGGACATATTTTTCCTGGAGCAAAGGAACACCTTTCTGACACGACTGACGTAAAACCGGTGAACTGGAGGGGAGAGCAGACAGCGTGTATAGCGCCCCGGACGATTACCAGCCGCATCGTCACAAAGGATTCTCTTGTGTTCCCGCTACTGGAGTCAGTCAGTAGCATGTCGTGCATTCTGCTTCGACTCACCCTTTATAGTAGTTTATAGTACTTTAGACATCATTATCGCCTACCTGATAGTCCTGATATGAATGGAAATGTTTGCATCCATGCCAAGTGTGATAATTCTAACAGGTCCATGTGCATGGCCAAGCTTCAATTTCAACCTTGCACGATCGTGCATGTATATGATTATGAGCCCGGTCTTCGACTCTGTGGAATGCTGTGCTTATAGGATGTGAAGGTCTACGATGTCTGACTGAGCAGCCTGTTTTGTCTGTGTGCGATAGTCTTCCAGCTCGATGCACCGGAACAATAGCTGTGTAACTATGAATCCTTTGAATGCAAGAGGGTTTTGACGAATGAAATTGAGGAAGGACTTTTGATGTCACGGGCATCCTCTCATAGTTAGAGATCGATGTTGTGCGCTTTTGTCGTTTTGGATTTAACCAAAACCACACCATTTGACAGCCTGTTCAGGTTGTGCAAGCTCCCCTACAAGTTATGTGCCCCACTGACGTCGGGGTTTTGTGGCCGCCTGTCGGCAACGTACGCTCTGTCAACAAGGTCGACCGAATGTTCAGTTTCACTTTGCTCAGTGCTGTGCTGTTTGATTGTCGCAGATGAGACCCGCTGGGTGCATCTGCAAAGTGGACTTGGCTGAATGTCCAGGATGGCGAGAATTCGGGTTGATAAGTATAACTCGTATCCATCTTTCAGTATTGTACAGTATTATTGTATCGTTTTACCGCGCGCTGTCCGTTCCATTTGTGCTCGGTGTGTCCAAGGTGCAACTGTCACACACTGTAGCATCTCATTCACCAATAGGTCGATCGACGTGTGTAAACTAAATCAATCTCCCATATGAAGTACCTTGATGGCGTTCACTTTGTACCAGGGGTATGAGACGGGCACGATGCGTTTTTCAGACATGTACGTGCGTATGACGCTTTCTTATTGTATTTGGACCAATTATCGATATACCCGTGTCATCCTTGCGGCAGGGGCCATGCTAATCTCCTCTGTACGGTTCCAATTTAATGGATGTCCCGAAGGACTGCGTAGGACGCTTCTTAGCTGCAGATGGACTGCCGTTTACCGAACATGCCGAGTATGAGGTGGGCAAAACTGTTTGTTCAGACCTGGACGTTTGTGTATTATGCTTGCTTAGTTGCCGACAGACTTGTTTAAAATCTATGTGACCAGGGACTCACTGAAGATTCATATGGATTCAACATTTTGTGACGTTGCAAGAGAAGAAAGGTC